AGTCAAATATGAAAAAAAAATTAATGTTGAATCCTCATAATAAAAAAGTTACAGTTTCCAACGGAACAAGTAGTTTCGTTACATGTTTGTAAAGAATATTTGTTAACCACGTGCGTCTAGTTATGGGCTTACAAGTTTGGGCACTCGACTCCCAATCTGAGGGTCATCTTGTTGAATCCCGTCCCCGAACATGCTCGCCCTTTCAGCCGCTCCCCAGTGGCACAGCGGTATGCCTGCGGACTTACAACGCTAGAAACCGGGTTTCAATACCCGTGGTAGGCAGAGCACAGATAGCCCATTGTGTAGCTTTGTACTTAACTTAAAACAAACTAAAACTAAACATTAGTAGTTTACTGAATGTATTGGTATAAGAAACATACTAGCTAACATCACATCAATTCCTCTATTCGTTGGTAAAAAAGTGGCCCAAGAATTGGCGGTAGGTGGTGTTGACTAGCTGCCTTCCCTCTAGTTTATCACTGCTAAATTAGGGATGGCTAACGCAGATAGCGCTCGAGTAGCTTTGCACGGAATTCAAAACAAACAAATCGTCTGGTTAATAATTTAGTTTATATGTTTATTATCATATAATAGATAGTTTGTTCTAAACCTGGCTTAAATTATTATTTCAATTCAACGCCTCGTATTTTCGTATTACGCTGTTCTTAAGAGCATATGAAAATAGAAGGCATTGGAGATTAAATATTAAACGTAAAAATAATTAATATTTTAGTTGAATAGCGAATGAGAAACTTTAAAATTACTCAGGATTTTAATAACAATTCTTTACTATTAACTTCTTTGAAGTGAAAATGAATCTTGGTTAAAAACAATGTATTCAACAATGGATACCCTTAATCTGTTATATTACAGGTAGTCTAGTAGTTAGGATACTTGAATGTCACCCAGGAGGTCCGGGTTTGATTCCCGACATGAAAATTTATATTTGTTTATGTGGTCTAGTAGTTAGGATACCTGGGTATCACCCAGGAGGCCCGGGTTTGATTCCCGACATGGGAATTTATATTTGTTTACTTTAAAAGGAATTGACCTCATTCACGTTGTTTATCCCCCCTCCACCTCCCGAGGAAGAGAATAAGCAGAATTAAGTGTATTAACCTTTATATGAAGTGCCTTTCACTAAGTATCGCACTTGGGGTGCCCATATGCCAGCCATCTCTAATGCAAAAATATTTACTGATGAATCCCCCTGGACAACTTAGTCGAAGTAGGAGCGAGACATTTCATTACCTCTCACCTAGAGCTAAACAAACAACAAAATATTTACTGATGAATCCCCCTGGACAACTTAGTCGAATTAGGAGCGAGACGTTTCATTCCATCTCACCTAGAGCTAAGCAAACAACAAAATATTTGTTATATCACTAATGTGGCACAAAATCGTCAAGTATCTAGTCTACCTACTAAGTTAAAATTTAGTGCATGTTTTTCCCACCGAAGTAAGCTGTTCCTTATGATTAAAGGCAGCTAACTGATAACCAAAGGCAGAGTTACGTTTTGTAGTTTATATATTACTGAATATTTATTATTAATTGTCATTGTAGATTTTTAGTGGTAGAAGTTATTTACGTGATGAAATGGAGAAGAAAGTTAACACTTAGCTACATATTATTTTTCAGGTAGAGGTGAGAATTTTAGACTTTCATGTTCGACACAGTACGAACTGCACCAGTGATTACTTGTGTACTTGTAAAGATGGCGTTCGTTTATGGAGTTAACACACTAGAGGGTTCTCAAAGATAGATATAGGTGGCGATACAAGGCACAAAGAGCAAATAAAAGGGACCCCCCCCCCCCATTGTATGCTAAGTGCATTGAAGCATATTATCTAAAAACAAATAAAAACTTACACGTTGTATGGGAAGGTAAGTTTCCAATAAGTCGAAATGTTATATGCAAGTTTTAAATTGTTAACCGAGAAACCCTGGTTTTGTAGAATTCCAACTTAGCCCTAACTTTGAGGACCGTGTGGTGTTAACCCTAAATCGAAATCTTGTATGTAAATTTTCATAATTGACCAAGAACTTCTCGTTTTGTAAAGTTTATACTTAGCTGTAAGTTAATCAATAAGTCACCTCCCCTCCCCAGTGGCTCAGCGATAAGCCTGAAGGCTTATAACGCTAAAAGCCAGGTTTCGATACCCGTGATGGGCACACCACAGATAGCCTGTTGTATAGCTTTGTTCTTAACAGCAAACAAACACATCCATAAGTTGAAATGGAAATATCATATGTAATTTTTTATAGTTAACCGAGAAACGATCGTCTTGTAGTACTCTCTCGTTTTCTTTGTGATTAAAATAAACTTATCGCCACTGACATTGTCGTTTCCTATAGAATGATGAGAGTGTATTATTCTGAGTCATTAGTGGATTATTATGAGTCACTAGTGGATTCTTCTGAGTCACTGGTGGATTCTTCTGAGTCACTGGTGGATTCTTCTGAGTCACTAGTGGATTATTCCGAGTCACTAGTGGATTATTCCGAGTCACTAGTGGATTATTATGAGTTACTAATACTATCTGAGCTAAGTCTGACTACCTTCTCTAGTGTTTATCAAGACGCAGAGAATTTTGACGCAAAAAATATTGTTTTTAAAAAAGAGCTTTGATATATATATAAAACGTTACAAGGTAATTTTTATGTCACCACATTAGTGAATTAGTTAGACTCTGTTATTTGAATCTGTACCAGGTGAGGTAATAAAACTGTTACAGCATATATTTAGCAGACCGTCCAATCATTAAATCGTTGAAACAAATCATGAACGAGTTATACCATCAGTCTGAGATTTGGGTTTTGTCTTTAGATGTCTACAACTTTCCTTTGACGGAGAAGGATTTCTGCATGTACTTTCAGACAAGTGAATTTGGGACCGACAAGGGTTTCGAACTTTTTATTCGTCAAGTCACGAACTGTAACGCTAGAACTCCACTTACTTCAGGTATAATATTTATACGAACTGATCGTCTAGATGAAAAATGTAATGCTACTACTTTAGTAATATTTTAAAAAGTATACTTTTATATGAATATAAATTTTTGCCGTTATAAACAAATGCTTACGTATTCTTCCTTACGGCTGAACAAATGGATGATATATATATATATATATAGTTGAACATATTTTATTATAGATGGATCAAGCTTGGATGAGGGATCTAAGGATTCAAGTTTGCGTTTCGTTTCCGCAAAAAAACAAACAAAAAAAAAAGATTCGCATCTTGGGGGGAATCGTGTATGCGTGCGTTATAAGGGTGACAGTCAAATCCGATAAACTTGATAAGACGAACTTAGCTCAGGAGTTGGCGGTGGGTGCTGTTGACTAACTGCCTTCTTGCTATTCTGTTAGTTCAAAATTAGAGACGGCTATATCTAGAATGCTCTATTGGCAGGCTCTGTCGTTGGATCTAAGGATTCATAGTTCGCATTCATTGCCAAAAAAAAAAAAATAAACGCTCTTCGCACCTTGGGTCCGTGGGTGGGGTATAAAGGTGACTGTCAAATCCTACCACTCAATCGGAAAATTGCATTTAAGTTCAAAAAATAAGTACAATACACTTAATGTAAAATATAAAATAATAGTAAAAAATTCTATTATACAATTTCATGAAAAAAAAAGAAAAGAAGATTTACAAGAATACTCGAGTGTGGAATCATAAATAAATAAATAAGTGAACAATAAGTGAATTAATTAAGTTAATTTAAAACTATTTTAATATGTTATAATATTTGAATATATATATTTTTAACTGGTATCTTTTTATTTTTATCTTATATATAAACCGTAAGTAGATTTTCTGGTTCCTCTATACGAGTTATCAATTTCTTTAAAGCTGAATTAATATTTATATTTTTATTACTAAGCCGTAGTTTTATTTCATTTGGAATATTATTATAAAATGTTGGTGCTTGATATAAATAACTTTTTTTCCTAAATATTTCCTTATTTATTTTAGGAAGTTTTACATTCCCATGTTCTTAAGCTTTTGTTTAATATATTGATTTTATTTTTTTTGCCGAAGAGTTGGCGGTGGGTACCGTTGACTAACTTCCTTCTTCCTAATATATCAGCTCAAAATTATACAGATTAATATATGATGCTTGTACATAGCAACATGCAAGTAATAGACATAAACACATCGAACAAACAAACCGTTAGTAATTGATCAATTTAGTGGAAAATGAAGTCTGATAATGAAGTGTCGAGCCAGGGCAACATCTGTAAACACCTTTAATGGACGTTTTGGAATTACATATATTCCATCTTCAACAAATCTGTGATAATAATGAATGAAACAATCTTCAGTATAATTACAAATACAAAAATACAATGAGTTTCGTTAGGAAATGATAAAATATTCAGTTTCAAAGAGAGAACTATTTGAATAAAGCAAAAGGGTAAAAGTTGATATTTCGGTTGAAGCTTGGCGTTTCATTCATAATATGTGGCCTTTTTTTTACCAACAGTTCGAAGCTTGGCGTTTCATTCATAATATGTGGCCTTTTTTTACCAACAGTTCGAAGCTTGGCGTTTCATTCATAATATGTGGCCTTTTTTTACCAACAGTTCGAAGCTTGGCGTTTCATTCATAATATGTGGCCTTTCTTTTACCAACAATTCGTGTTTATTACATCCGTAAGTTAGAATTGAAAAGTTTCCTGAAGAAACAGCGTGCGGTGACGTTTCGTTGTGAGAATATATATGATAATTAGGTGAAGTTTGAAGTTTAAGTCCAGTTCTGTTAGAAACTCCCATGTGTTCCGAGGCGCGTATTTGTAAATGGCGAGAAGTCTTGCCTATGATGTAGGCGGCTTAACATGTACATTTATATACGACCTTTGAACGTGAGGCTAAGATAAAATGTCTTTAGTTCTAAAAAAGTTACTGATACGTACGACATGACGATTTTAAGACAATGCAGAGTTTATTCTGGGGGTTAGAAAGACCAGAGTAGCTTACTGAGTTGGGTTTTAACAATAAGACTTTATTTTCCAAGGTAAGAAAGAACAAGTGTTAGAGAGAATGAATCGGTTTAATAACCTCTAACCTCGGTCTAATCAGTATATCTCTTAAATACAAGTGATTATTCGGTTAAGTTTTGTTTCTTCTTAGCCGCGGCATAACGGCTGATAGAATGGCTCTGAGCTTTCTTTTCAAGTACAAACTTGATTGATTAATCGATTTGAGATCTAATTACATCCGCGGCTATTGAGGATTCCCTCTTATTTTTGTCTTAACTTAGTGATTCTGCTCCGATTCTGAAACAGCTTATTGATGTAGTGCGCGTGTGTAGTGGAGAAAGATTTTGAATGCTGATTTAAAATAGTCGTTACTAATCATTAGTTAATTAATATTAAATTGGTAAAAATAATTTATAACTAATGTCCTATAATAAAATACTTTTAAGTAGCTAAACAAATAAAAGCACGAGAACATTAGTAACAAATTATTAAAGAAAAAATACAAAGCGTAAACGTGCGAGAATAAATCTTAATTTGTTAGTTTAATTACAGAATAAACATATCATGATAAAAACTCTATCAAACTGTACAGAGTACGTTATATAAAAAATATTTTATGTATGCAAGTCATCAAGTTACGTGACAACCAAAGCCAATATAAAGTCGTGGTGGAACGGTATGTATCAGAACTACTTTTTTGACATTATTTGGCAATGCTTTTAGTAATGGTATGTAAGAGTCCTTTCTGACGCAAAATATTCATACACTTAGATCATAAAGATGTATTCAGATTAGGGATTTAATTTTTTTCAAGATGAAGATATTACTCGTACTTAATAGCGTTCGAAAACAAAGGAATATAGATCAACTTGGGGCCCCAGGACCATCCAGAAAGAGATCTGCAACAAGTCGTACCCCAGCCATGGTAAACAAAGCGTGTCTTCTTGTAACGCAAAGGTCAGTGGCAAAAGTCGTCCACATGCCCCAGGCAACATTACACAACATAATTAAGAAGGATCTCCCTCTGGAAAAGCTACACATATTCGTTCAACCGTCACATACCTCAAGCAGCTGGCGAATGAAAGAAGTATTCATGATATTCCCTAAGAAAACATACTGATTAAGTCGCCAGACACAGCGTTTATGGGTTTCTGTACGATAGGACTGTTGAAACGGTTGCTGGGAAACTGTCATTCTTGTACTTTAGATGGCTTACGGAAAGTAAGTAAGGAGGAGTGGTGTGCTTTTCATATGATAGCCATATGACGGGCCATTTTGCAATGTAGACGATTGTCAAGATGCATAATCCTCGGACAAAGTATGGTTTGGTTTGTTTTGAATTTTGCGCAAGGCTACACGGGGGCTATCTGCGCTAGCAGTCCCTAATTTAGCAGTGTAAGACTAGAGGGATAGCAGCTAGTCATTACCACCCACCGCCAACTCTTGGGCTATTCTTTTACCAACGAATAGTGGGATTACCGTAACATTATAACGCCTTCACGGCTGAAAGGGCGAGCATGTTTGGTGGGACGGGGATTCGAACCCGCGACCTAACCACCTGGCCATGCCGAGCCGACAAAGTATGACGACATGTACTGAGTGTCCAGTATAACGTACTCAACCTCTGTATGCATAGAAACTATGTTCTAAATGAGCGTTTCTCAAACTGGGGTCCGCGAGTCATGGACGAAATTAAAAAAAAATATTTTAAAAATACGATTTATGTAAGAAAAAATATTTTTCCTAAAACTAACATTATATGAACTAAAACATTTAATTATAGAATATGGCTTTTCATGTACACGGAATCTTTTGGTCAAAAACAAAAGAACATCTATAGGTTTGGGGGTCGGCGAAAACATTTTAAATCAAAAGGGGTTCTCGGGTTACTAAAGTTTGAACCCCCCAGTGGCACAGCGGTATGTCTGCGGACTTACAACGCTAGAATCCGGGTTTCGATACCCGTGGTGGGCAGAGCACAGATAGCCCATTGTGTAGCTTTGTGCTTAATTACAAACAAACAAACAATACTAAAGTTTGAGAAACGCTGTTCTAGAGACTCAACAAAATGCCCCCAAAAATAGGTTTACGTTATCAAATGTGCATTACTTGTATGTTAACCGATTCTATTATGCTCCTAAATATCTGGAAATAAAAAAGTTATTTATTAATTTATCAGCTGGATTAATGAAATTTGTTACACACCCGGGTGTGAAAGGATTACAAATTTCCGATTCAATATGAGATGAGTCATTTTTCTTGGGCAAGAGTGGCCTAGTAATTAGTGTGTCCGAACTAGAAAACCGAAGAATTATGATTTGAGACCCGTTACCACAAAAAAACGCGCTCCACACTTTGGGACCGAAGTTGTGCTTTATAGAGTGATTGTGAAATCCAACTATTCGGTCAGGTATGAGCAGCCCAAGAGTTGGCGGTGAGTGCTGTTCAGTAGCTTCCTTCTCCTTAGTTCGGAATTAGAGAGGACTATGCATAGATAGGACTCTTGTGTTCATGCTTAACTTTGTGTAAAAACTACCATATTTTATCCCGTCCCACCAAACATGCTCGCCCTTTCAGCC